AAATTATTTTATAATAATTAATTTATATTTTTTTTATCAAATTTAACTTATATGTTTTATATATTTATTAAAAATATAAAATGGTTAAGAAATAATAAAAATAATAAATAAAATAATAACAAAAAAGAAATTTATACAATAACCCAAGTTCTTGTTCAAGCACTTGGATTCTAACAAGAACTTGTTGTTAGTCCCGAAGGGGATAGCAATAAACATAAAGTAATTGTAGAAGGGGGGTTGAATACAATTACACTGACTTTTTTCAACTTTTTTAATTCTTATTGATGTATATCAAGAATTAACACACACAGAGATACAAAAGATTGTTGCGGAAGATAGGAAAGGAAAACCTAACCTAACCAATCTTACAAGGAGAAGAACTTACAAGAACAACACAAAGAGTTCTTGAAAAGAAATGAAGAACACTAAGAATTTCTTCGCACACAGGAGAGCAAGGGAGWAGAAGAGAATAGCCGATTGCTTTGAGAATGCACTAAGTAATCTTTCAAAAAGCCAGTGATGTGCATGGGAGAAGCACACTGCCTTTTATACTACCTTCAGCATTTAATGCATGGGGACACTTGTCRCCYGAGGATAAGAAGGCAGGGGTTGACTTGACCATTGTTGATATCTCATTTTCATCGTACACAGCGTGCATACAACACTGTTCATGCAGAGACAAACTTTTGCAGAAATATGGTCAGTCTGTAGGAAGGTCTTCTTTGGATGGATATATAGCTTCAAGCAGCTACTCACAAATCTTCGGTCCATGAAGATTTTCAATCTTCGGTTCATGAAGATCTTTACTCTTGGGTCCATGAAGATTTTTCAATCTTGAGTCCATGAAGATTTTCAATCTTCGGTCCATGAATATCTTCCTTCAATCGGCTTGTAGCTTCTAAATATTTTCAATCTTCATTTCAGCTACTTTGGAGTCTTGGTGTGTATATTAGACAGTTGATCCACAACACCGCATCGGTGACCTTCTGTCTTTACTTCGGCTAGTCTTCGATTTTGCCAATGGCTTAAGTATGTACCAAGACACCAATATACAAAGAACCAATAACTACTAAGTGTTGCTAAGGTAGAGGAAAAGATCAGTGGGTCATCACCAAATCAGTAGGTCATCCAACAATCTCCCCCTATTTGATGATGACACAAACACTTAGAAATAAATAAATACAGGATACACAAACTCTAAAATTCTTTGAGAAGAAGAACTTATAAATTTTGTGACCCATGTACATATTATTTTTGGGTTTTTTTCCTTTTTTTATTTTTGATTTTTTTTTATTTTTTATTTTGTTTTTATTTTTTTTAACAGTAAACATATATACAAAACAAATAATGAATAGAGAGAAACAAATAAAGAATGAAAAAATTTGAAGTAAATACTAAAAATATAAATTGCATCTATGGTAGACAATGAATTAAATTCTTACAGTGAAGAAGATAGTTCAAGAAGAAGAAGTCACATAGAAAAACTAGCAATCATCATCTACTTCCATAACATCTGTATCAGCCACTGCAAGAACATCTCTTTTCTTCAGTTCATCTGATATCAACGTATAAAAGACTCTTCCGGCTTCACCAATTTTGATTATACTTAATATCACGCACAATAGCTGAGAATCAGCTATAGGTATCTCAGAAGCTCGGAAAAATCGAAGGCAACTACTCGCGTCCCAGAAGAATATTCCATGCTCAGGAGTGGACAAGATAGTTCCTTCCGGATGACAATCTTTTGAAGGAAGGGTAAGATCAAGATGTGAGACATCAAGGGCCTTACCTTCCTTTGATAATTTATGAATAAGAGAGTCTTGATTCTTGATGGACTTCGAGGCAAAAACAGATTTAGAAGAGCCAGTTTTACTTAACATTTGCTTAAGAGAGGAGAGTTGTGGAGGGGAAGGCAGCTTGTAATGCATCTTGATCATTTGTATCTTTTTCAGAAGACGAAACAAATGACTCAAGACAAATTCCTTGTACATACTTCTGCTTCTATTAAAAAACTTGATGATCTCCATCCACTCAAAAAGACCATAGGGATTGATCTAAGGTAGCTTTTCTGTCCTCACTACTCCGTTTTCTCGACCAATAATCAAATAGATCAGATTGGATCATAGGTCAATTTTTTAGGACCTTTGATTCTAGCACTGACAATTCGAGTAGTAATATAACGACGGAGAATTGAGTCATTAAACCATTTGATTCTTTTCTCTTTGGTTTCTTCAGATTCAGATGGTGGGACCAAAGAGTGAGATCTATTGGCTTCCTCAAATTGCTTCTGAAGAGCAATTGAGTTGGCCGCATCCTCAGTAGAAATACCTAGCAGATGAAGATCAGTTTTAGGAAGACATGAAGCTTTAAGCACAAGTTTGTCGGCTGGAGAGACTTCAGAATGATATC